GAGAGAAAAAGAATAAGGGCAGGATCTGGAAGAGGGAGGAGACTGCCTGGACTTTAAAAGAATCTAAAGTAAAACTTCAATAAGACTTCTAAAAGATACATTTTAACTGAAACTTTGCAACTAAATAGTAACTCCAGGAGAGAAAGTGAAAAAAAAGAAAGAGCAAAAAATAAACAGCTTGCGTGTATTTGGATTATTTGGTGTCTTTTGGATTTTTGATTATTATATTTGAATGACTAAAATCAATCGGGTGGTTGTTTAAAAATTTATACAATGGCATCACTTCTGGATGAATTTAAAATGGAACTTAAAAAGTACAAAGAAGATGCACAAGAAGGGAAGGGTTCTTTTGGCTTTGTTTTTCAATTCTTAGAAATTGAGATCTGGAACTATGAGAAACAACAAGAAAAGACTGCAAAACAAGAAGACTGGGACAAAGAAGAAGCCATCTTTAATGAACACGTAACTTTATGTGGGGAAGAAAAAGAAAAGGGGAGAAAGAGAATGGAGAATTTAAGACTTAAAAAAACAACCAAAGAAAAGAAAACTAATTCGAAAAATAAGTATAATACTGGAAAGCAACAGAAAAGGGGAATACAGAAGAGGGAAATAGAGGTAGAGAGACAAAGGGGTAAAAAGGAGAGAGAGAAGAAGAGAGGGAAGAAGGAAAGGAAAAGAAGTTACAAAGATCCGGAGCAAGATATAAAGAAACAGGACCTATTTAGAGATAATGGGTGAAAATCTAACTGAAAAAGGGATTCTGTAAAGGTACATAAGATTGCATTGTTATATTAGTAATAGAAATAACTTTAGAAAATTGGAAACAACATATGATTAGAATGAGGGATAAAATAGTGTAATTTAGCGAAATGTTTGTGAATAAAATAAATGAAATAAAATAAATGAGAAAATTGAATTAGGAAGGAATGGGAACATTTTAATTAGTCAATGTTTTATAAAATATAACTGAAGGGGAGGGAATTAACTATGGAAAGTTTATAATTCTTGCCATAGAAGTATGATATTTCATTGAAAAGTAACGTGAAAAATGTTAAGACTTTAATGAATATTAATATTAATGATAGAATTGAATTGGAATGTTGTTTTAATTATATACATTTATAATAATTTTTTTCTTTTTTTTCAAGAATACAGTGTGTAGTTTAAGAATGTACCAAGCAGAATCCGAATGGAAGTTATGTATTATATTGGGTGTTACAACTTTAGGGGAAAGATATAAAGGCGTCATACTCCAATCAGTAACGACAGGAGAAATTTTGTTTAATGAGAAAAGATAATAGACAGTTGAAACAGGACAGACAAAAAATACAAATATAATGATTTGAACTGAGATGAAATAAATAAAATAAAATTGAGAAAATTAAAAGAGGGGAGAAGCTATGTAGAAAATGTAAAATAGTAATAAGATATGGAATAGAATATAAAAATGAGCATGAACCTGAATTTGCGTCTGTACGAAGAAATGTAACCCGGGATTATGCCGCTTTCAAAAAAGATGTTTTATTTGTATTTCTTTTCTTTTTGTGAAAACTCAAATAAAATTTACAAAAAAAAAAAGAAAGAAAGGAGAGAGAGAAAGAAAGAATGAATGAAAGAAGAGAAAGAAAGAGAAAGAAAGGAAGGAAGGAAGGAAGGAAGGAAGGAAGGAAGGAAGGAAGGATGGAGGAAGGAAGAAGGAAGGAAAGAAGAAAAGAGAAAAAGAAAAAGAAAAAGAAAGAAAGACAGAGAAAAAGGGAGGGAGGGAGGAAGGAAAGAAGAAAAGAGAAAGAGAGAGAGAGAGAAAGAAAGAAAGAAAGAAAGAAAGAAAGAAAGAAAGAAAGAAAGAAAGAAAGAAAGAAAGAAAGAAAGAAAGAAAGAAAGATTGATTTGTAGATATTTCACTTGTCTATGAAAACTGGTCTTACCCTTGTTTGGCATCATGTAAAATCATGATAACTAGAGAACATAGAAATTACAGTTAATATCCAAATAGATGGTATGAATTACGTGCACAACGTAGAGTAGATCTGCATGGCAATAATATTTATTTCCTGTCCCTTTTTTATTCTGCCCAAATTGGGACAAGAAAGAACTTTGCCAATCCTACACTAAGGGACAAACTGCATGCTGCATTTACTATACAGGCAGTCCTTGACTTACAACCACAACTGGGACCAGAATTTCCATTGCTGAGGTGAGTCACACCTGATTTTTACATCCTTTTTGTCATGATTTTTAAGGGAATCACTGCAGTTGTTAAGTGAACAGCGTGGTCATTAAGCAAATCTGGCTTCCTCCATTGACTTCGGCTTGGAAGGTTGCAAATGGCAAAGACATGACCCCGAGATACTGCAATCATCATAAATACATGCCGGTTCTCCAGCTCCTGAATTTTTATCAAGTGATTGTGGGGACACTGCGATGGTTGTAAGTGTGAGGATCACCTGAAACTTCAAAAGGTCACTAAAACGAACAGTTGTAAGTCAAGGACTACCTGTATAGATTGTTATCTACTTCTGTGCCTTTTCATAACCCCCAAATAACATGCAGGATCGAATCCAACCTGGAACGAACTGTTTATTCCCTCCGGTGCCTCTATATGAATTAAGTTTTCCTACCTGTGATCTGCATTGCTGAACAGAAAAGCCCCCCGTCACAAAAATAAATCCTACATGTTTAGCCAACCCTTTCTGATTAAGGGTAGGGGAGGATATAACTGAGCTGTACACATTATAAAGAAAAGTTTGGATCTAAGAAAGGCTACCTGATTTCTTGTTGTTCTCTTTCCTTCTCCCATGTTTTCTTCCCTGTACATTATGTATTTCTCTGTCGTAATAATCTCTCCTTTTAAATAAGCATTTCCCGACTTTTCTAAATTCCCCTATCCATCATCAGAGTACTGAGTTCGTACACTAAATTTAGAATGAGGTACAAGTTCCATGCAGAAAATGAACAGCACACCTTAGAGCTCATAGTCAAATGTATATATCTTAGGTTTCTTATATTTTCTTATAGTTTCTTATAGTTTCTTATATTTATCTTTTCTACAAAGTTTCCTCTGCAATAAAAAGCCAGGTTTAAATACAATGCTAAACCATAATTCAGCATCACATTAACAAGACTGAACTGCGAATATTTCCCCTTTTTGTAGCTATTTTGGTAGGGGCAAAAGCAAGGTGCTTAGCAAGATTTGCTAAGCGAGTTTTGTTAAACAGTTTACTATTTATTCACCGTAAAGAGCAGTAAAATGTGGTTAGTTTAAATTTATTTAAACAAGCGGAAGCCAGCCTGGATCAAAGTTGTTCAAATTAACAAGCGATGGTTGTAAGTAAATTAACAAGCGATGGTTTCTAATCAGGACATACTTAGAAGGCAGGACAAGAAGCATGGATGGAAACTAATCAAGGAGAGAACCAATGTAGAACTTAGGAGAAATTTCCTGACAGTTAAAACAATTAATCAGTGGAATGGCTTGCTTTCAGAAATTGTGGGTACTCCAACACTGGACGTTTTTAAGAAGAGATTGATTGGACAGTCATTTGTCTAAAATAGGTTTCCTGACTGGGCAGGGCTTGGACTAGAAGACCTCCAAGGTCTCTTCCGACGGTGTTATTCTGTTAGAAATTCCATTTAACTTATATCAGGAACCCTACCTAGTTACTAAGAACTGTCTTCCAGCAAAGGATTACTTCTGGCCCATGACCACCATCAATCAATACTACAGCTCTAAACAGCACTTGGGAAGCAGTGACATAGCACAAAGTAACACCCCCTAATTATACTCTTCCTTAATATTTTAGGAAGCTACAGTGTTTACTTTCTGCATAGACTAGCCCAGTGATGGCAAACCTATGGCACGTGTGCCACAGTGGCACACAGAGCCATTTGTCCAGGCACGCGAGCCCCAGTCAAACTTACCTGCACTGTGCATGCGCGCGCCTCCCAGCTCATTTTCTGCCCATTTGAGGCCATTTTCGCCCTCCCGGAGGCTCGAGGGAAGCCTCTGCAACCTCAGGAGACCGAAAAACGGGCCTTCCGGAAATACCAGAAGTGCTGAGGTGGGCCTGTTTTTCGGCCTCCAAAGGCTGCAGAGGCTTCCCTTCAGCCTCCAGGAGGGTGAAAAAGGCCTCAAAAGGGCCGAAAATCAGCTGGGAGGCATGTGCATGCGCAGTGCAGGTAAGAGGGAGTTGCACGCGCATGTGCAGGGGGCGCATTGCATTGTGTGTGCCCGCACGCACACGTACGCTATTGCGCACACTCACACTTTTGGCACACCATAACATAAAGGTTCACCATCACTGGACTAGCCTGTTTTTCAGAGCATTCCCCCAAAATCAAGGACCTGTTTTGCTTCAACAAAAAAGGCTCTCTCTCAAAGATTCTTCCAAAGCTATGTGGCCACTTCACTTACCTCAGTGACCAGGTTGCTTATATACTACTGTTTTACAGCATTTTGGACTGTCTCAACAACACAGGCCAAATTTTGTCCAGTGATGCTGAAGGAAATTGATGAATTTCTACAAGCTTCTCAGCCAAAGAAATCCAGCCACTCTTTTGCAAGACCTCTCACAAAATCTGTAGCATGAGGAGATTCCTCTGGGTTGCTTGCAAAAATCTAGCAACTGCTGCAGAGAACATATCACTTGCATCATCAAGATGATTTACCAAACTCCTTATTAGCAAGTGTGGCAGAGAATAAATTTTGGCAAGTCAAACCAGAGAACATTACCCACAACGTAGCCCAAAGGAGCTTCTGTTCAAGAGCGATTATGGGACAGAAGCTCCTTTGGCTTTTCCAATAGACAGGCCACAGACAGAAAGAAGCTTTGATGCGAAACCCAGCACTGCATAGACACAAATTGCAGTGGCTTTTTGCTTTATTTCTTACGTGCTAGCAATCTGAGGGCATTTGTGCTCTCCTATTTGTGCTTTCTATTGGTTCTATTCTTTGAGCTTTCCATAGTCCTTGTATACATTATGACCTGCTTCACAAGTCTTACTTGAAGGATGAAGGTACACAATATCTTTCACTGTAAAGTCTCGCGCTCGTGTTCCCTTCAGGCAGTCAGCAATTAAGCTAAGGAAGAGGAGCCAGCCCAGCGTAGGCCAGGATTCCATAGCAGAGAGGGTGCATCAAACATGCAGATGGCTTGAAATCAAGTTCTCCTTGTCACCAGAAGGCCCAGGAATCTAAGAAACACACAAGGAAAGAAAAACAGGTAAGAAATCAACAGATAACCCCATACCTGCATAATTCAGGTGATATAATAAGACCGAAAACCAACACTGATCCTCAGACATCAGTTCTGTCCCAGCTTGGACACCAAGCATGTCAGATCTCTTTTATTTTTCATCTTACGGAACGTGATTGCAACAAGAAAACAATTGCTTTGTTCCTATTGGGTTTTTTTTTCTTGCCATTTTTTTTCTTGAAAAACAGCTTGCATCTCCTGTTTAAAAACAATATTGAATCGCAAGGCTACAACAGACATTCTCTCAAGATCTTCAGCAGCTCTGCAGAAAGTCAGTATCAACCTAAATTGGCCACAGAGTGTATTTCTCCTTGTACACACACACACATTATCCACACACAATGATTGGGCAGGACAATCTTACACGATGGAAATTCACCAGAAGTAGCCAGTGGTAACAAGATCCCAGGGCGCGCATATGTGCCTGCAATGTACAGTTTCCCTGTTTATTATTTATGCGCATCTAATCCTCCCTTTTGAAGCATTCCCCAATGCAACATGAATGGGAAGCTTAACTCAACTTCAACTGAAGTGGCACATTCTTTTTTCGCACAGCAAGGTTGCATCTCCGGCTAGTATTGCCGTCTCCATTCTTTCTGCTCCATTTCAAAATCCACGCATCATAAAAGCCGTAATGAGCCCTTCAAATTGAAGCCAAAATCCATGTCTTAGACATGTATGCTCACACCACTGGCCAATTATACCCAATATTTTATTTAGTAGTTAGAATCCTGCAGTCCATTGTGGGCTATTGTTTTAAAAATGCTGGCAATTTTGCTTGTCTGAGTTGTTTTTAATCCAAAGAGATTAGTGGTTGGTTGGCAATGAAAGCCAAAGAAGAGGAAGATTTAGTGCTCTCATAAACTGTGCGAGTAGTCTTACAAAAAAAGGTGATTTCTTTTAAACACTCCAGTTTAGCACATTAAAGTTATATTTAGTAGAGTACCACATATACATGCATATAAGCCCGTCCTCAGATAAGACCACCATCAAATTATAAACAAAAATAGCATGAAAAATGCACCACCCACCGATAAGCCGACTCTCAAAATGTTGTACATTTTAGACTGGATTTTCTGCAGCTGGCACATTTTTTTTTCAATGGTATTTTGGTTAAATGTTTAATGATAGGATAGAAGTGGTTGTTTAATACTTTCAATTTGCCCTTCGCTACAAAAAGAAAGACAAAAATTAAATTCTAATCAGATGGGATGTTATCACTTGTAAAGCCTGACCTACAACAATGCCTAGGCTGTAAAAATGATTGCTCTAAATTACGATCATGCTGATAATGGAATTTATTCCTCCACCATTCCCATCCTTCTCTAGACCAGTGCATTTTTATATCTAAAGAGAATGAAGCAATGTGTGAGGCAGACACACAATTCTGCCTTTATTATCCCTCAATTGCTGTTGCTCTAATAACAAAGATATTTTTTCAGACATTTTTCTCTGAGGCAGCTTAAAGTCTTCTTACTCTGTCTAAGAACCACTGCATCCTAAATTTAAGCAGGACATTATTAAATTACCTGTTATTAGTTCTGCCATAATTATGTTTCCACCTCAATCAGCATGCAAAAAAAAGATGCAAAACCAAAGCACAAGATCTCAGAAATGGATCCCAGACACATCTAAGATCTTTCTGAAGGGCCAAGTCTTCAGAGAGCACTCGATCAGGGCCAAAAGTCTTTCTGAGGAAGGGATCTGTTTAGGCTGACAGCACCACCAGCACCACCAAGAACAGGTCAACAAGTTCTAGATAGGGTTGTACTTTATTCCAGGGATACAACACAGGTAGTCCTCGACTTACGAACACAACTGGGACCAGAATTTCCATTGCTAAGCAACGTGGTTGTTAACTGAATTGCACCCAATTTTACAACTTTTTGTGCCATGGTTGAACCACTGCAACTGTTAAGTGAAACATATGGTTGTTAAACGAATCTATTAACTTTTGCTTATCAGAAGCCAGTCGGGAAGGTTGCATATGGTGATCACACATAATCCTGTAATCATAAATATATGCCAGTTGCTAAGGGCCCGAATTTTGATCATGTAAGTATGAGTATGCTGCAATAGGCATACGTGCAAAGACCAATTGTAAGTGATGCTGTAACTTTGAACAGTTGATAAACATATACAAAGTGCAAATATGGTTCTGACACTTGTTTTCTATAAAAAGAGCTGAATAGAATACTAGATACTACAGGGAAATGTACTACAATAAAGGGCGCACTACCTTGTGAATTAAACCCACTTCTGAGTTATTGTCTAATCCACTGAGCTGATGTCTCTACACTTATTAAAGCCCAAAGTAAATCACAGAAGTAGCTCTAATTAGCAACCTAGCTGCCAAGCCTCTACTGACAGTTGTATTGTAAAAGCTCCAAGTACAAAAAGCCAGAAACCTGCATTAAAAGACAGATCAAAAGACCAAGCTGAAGGATCTCAAGAGAGGAAAAAAGAACAAGTGAGTGTACTAATATTGCCACAGGGCAAAGCTTTTAGAAAAAATTGTGTGAATGCTACCACCAACTCTCACAGCCTAGAAAGTCAGGCCATCTGGGCTTAATCCACAGCTGCTATCATAGTGAAGACACATTGACACACTTAACTATTTGAAACTGGTATGTGCAAAATAGTTCCTTTTATGAAGTCAACAAAGCAAGAACAGGTGGGGAGGAATAAAATAGAAAGATAGGAGATGCCAGCCCTTATTCCTTATGATAATGATATTTTATTCTGGTCATACATGGCCACCAGGTGCATGTCTATGGAGATTCTCTGTCACCCAGGTCATGGTTGTGCCAAAGGTGCTTTTTTCAAGAGGCAACTGGACTTTCTAGTTTTTATTTGAAGATGTTTCATTTCTCACCCAAGAAGCTTCTTCAGCTCTGACTGGATGGTGGGGAATGATTGAAATATTGAAAAAGCAGCTTTGTGAGCACTAGGTACATAGTTCCTTTTCCAAGCCAAGAGGCCAAAAAACTGAAAGATACAAGAGAAGAAAAATGGAACTATCAACAGAATACTGATTGTTAAACTAAAGTTGAATCACTAGAGGGATGACAGAATCAAAAATTGCCGAGAACCATCTATCCCATGTTAATAATCCCTGAATGAACTCTATTATGAATACCAATTCACACTGGATTTTAAAAGAAACCCAGGAATCAACTCTTTAGAACTCAAATGTTTATTATGCTAGTTTCCCATCTATAATGTTCACTGGGTGTTATGTTCTGAGTATTACTTTCGTTCCCTACTTTTGATCTTTTCCATGGTATTTTTCTCTTTCAATCATTTGAGATTACTCCAATACATACTTCCAATTATCATTTAATTCTTTTTTTTTTTCATATGCCTGAATTTTTATAAGGTCCTATCACTTACAGTGTTCACTACATCTGTTCTTCAGCTGGTCCAACCAACCTGTCAACCAGCCTATTCTCACAAGTGGAGACTGAAACAGGTAGAAATTTTCTCTCAAGGAAGCGGGTTTAAAATAATTATTTTTATCTATTTAAAATTGGCTTTTTAAATTGAGTCAAGGGACCCAAGGGCAACCAATTTAGTTGGTGAAATACATGTGTCGCAAACCATGTTCCGGAAACTTTTTCAAAAGGCATTATACTGCCATCCTAGATATATTGTGTGGATAGCAGAGTTACAGTGACAATGCTCCATATTGAGTACAGCTGGCAGGCCAAGCTGAGCTGCTTAAAAGCAACTGTGCTACAATTGTAATTTGAGGTTTCTCAGTTAAAGAAGTGCTTGAAAGAATTCTCCAAAAACAAAGCTACATTATTTCCAAATCTATCGTTTTTAATCTACTTTGGATGTCAATTCTTAATCGAGGAACACTCTAAAATATGGCTGACACTCTGAAACATATTTCCTGTATCATATTTTATAATGTTTTTTATAAACATTTATTATCTGAAATGTACCAGGAATAAAACCTTAGAAAACAGCATAGGAAACAGTCTATAGCCCCAGTGTTTCTGAGTCATGTCTGGACCACTACGAAAAACACACAACCCTATTTATGGATCACCTGCAAAACATTTACAAGTAAAATTTACTTCTCTTCAAAGAACTGAGACTTGTTTTGATTAAATTTCAATTCAGCCATCATCAAACAGTCTGTAAAAACAAGTTCAGAAGTTCCATACCTTCCCGGTAATTAGTAAATAAAAAAGAGAAATGAGTATCAATTGTCCAAATCTTTAAATTATTTTACTAGATGTTAGATGTAATGTTGAGATGTACAAGAATAAGATGGATACAATCCAGAGAAGAACTACATATGATGATCTGGATGATGTTGCACGCTAATTTTTATCTGGATTTTTTTTTCAATTTCCCAATCAAGCTTATAGCCCGGTGCCTAGAAACTCTGATAGTTTCTCACCCAAGTATTAACTAGATGTTATCATGGTTAATTTTTTAGCACATACAAGATTGGCCAGGAGCTATTAAACACCATGATTTATGCTTTGTATAGACCCATTTTCTGTAAAATTTCCTATCACCCAACATCGCTACATTCAAACAACTCTTTAAATGCATTCTTTTCACCCTTCCTAAGTAATTCTTTCTTTTCTCTCCTCCAAAATACAGCACTTTATTCCTTTTGCATAAATTCCATTCTGTTCTTTGTTATTTTTTACAGCTTCTTTGCTTCAGGTGGAGGATAAAAAAGTGCTTTCAGATATCCTGTGCTGTAAATTTACACACCAGCAAGACTTTAAGATATGGCTTCAAAAGATAGTATAGAATAGAATTCTTTATTGGCCAAGCGTAGTTAGACACACAAGGAATTTGTCTTGGTGCAAATACTCTCAGTATACATAAAAGAAAAGATACATTGATCAAGAACCATAAGGTACAACACTTAATGACAGTC